TCAGTTTGGAGCAGTAAATACAATTTCCTGTTCCCCTCATTCATCTCACCTGAGAGTTTCTCTTTATTCTCTAAATGATGTCAAAATTTCCAGAAGCATGGAGAAACAGAAATGGCTGCTTTCAAAATGAGAGCATTTATCATTAAACAGAATTAATTTATATTATTATTAATCATTAAATTTAAAATCATTAAACATAATCTTTTTTGACTGTTCTCCCTAAGCATTCAGGCTCTACAGAAGGGCCACTGTGGTCCAGCGGAGCAGTTTCATTGGTACCAATTCGCTCTATCAGCAATGGGAATGATTTAAACCATATAATTCCATCTCATGATCCCAGTTTGAGTGGAAAAATAATTGCCCTGGAAGGAGTCAACTTCAGTGCAAGTAAATACAATTGTTAGAAACCTACAAATTCATTCTCCCCATTGATGCCAACAAACTTGTTAATTATTATAGATTATATACCCTTTGAATTGTTCTGCCTTTGCACCTTTCTTCATGTCATACCATATCAGTTCATCTCCTTAAGTCTCTAAACCTCTCTGGGTCTCATTTTCCTTGTCTGCAAAATAACGGATTTTGAATAGATGACATCTAAGGTTCCTTCTAGTTCTGAACTAGATAAGCCTCTTATCCACCTGCAGTATCATCTCTGTCAGTCCAAATCCGACCTACTCTACAAGACCAAACTCAAATCCAACCAACATGAGACCTTTCTTGAACATCCTAGCCTAAAATGCCTTTCCTTCCTTTCTTGTGTTAATTTTGTATTTGTTTTGCATGTATTAATTCTGTATATACTTACACATACACATGTTTTCTTCCCTAATTGAATATACTAAAAATGAGGACTGTCCCTTTCTTTGTATTTATATCCCCAATGCCTATCTATCACATAGCGATTGTGTCTATCACACAGAAAGTGCTTAATAAATACTTGATTAAAGTAATGCCACTTGCCTCTGAGTGCCAACAGTATTTACTGTCTTCATACTTCATCTGGTAAATGATCACATACAATCTTATAATTTCTATTGTCTTGATCTCATATAAATCTTTTAGTGTTACTTAACTTTTGCCATATTAATATTGTACCTGTCCAACTCTAGTTTTTTCGGTTTTGTCTCTCCAGCTAGACTAGTCTTATAAGACAAGATCTTAGAGGCTTTGCATTTCTTCGTGGAAAGTTTCTATTCAACACATATTTCTTAATTTGATTTGAAAAAAGTAGTTGAATTTTTTTCTAAGCACTGTGGTCAGATTTGCAGTAATATTTATTGGTTCCCCAATCTTCCATTGCATTTTGTTTCCTTATCATTTAACTGCCTGAATTTTATACTTCAGATATTTAAAGATCTATGATTACTTTGGCTTGCGTATTTTTTCCATCTATTCATAAAGCCACCCCTTCATGCCTTAGTCAACTGTGTAATGGATTTCTGTGGCTAAAACAGTTCATCACAGTGGTCAAGTATTGTCAGTGATCCCCTTCAAACTTAGCTAAGTTGGTCCTTGGAGGACAACATGGAGCTGGCAGACATGCCGACACCCCAAGCCTTTTCAGCTTGGGGTGTCCTGGCAGAGCTTGCAATTCAGTTCAAGAACCTTCAAAAGTACCAGGATTCCTTCCATTTAGTTATGAGACACTGAAATAGGGCTTAAGTAAAGTGACTTTTGTAACTAGAGCAAAAATAAGGTTTCCAATGAATACCTTTGACCTGTTAGAGAGTTTTTTGAGTTTTCCAATTCAAAAGGCACACTTGATACTTTCTAATGGATTTGGCACAACTTTATGTTGACATACTAATGGTGGAGGTGCTTTAGACAGTAATTCAGTGGGAATAGATCTGAGCCTAATTTGGCCCTGATGGAAATGAAACATGAAAATTATGGCAAAGTAGGTCTTCACTTTGAGTCATGAGGCAAAACTAAGAGAAGCATCAATGCTTCTCTCACATTTCACATAATTGGACTTGTGGACTCTAACATGCTGTACTTGTCAGCTGTCTAACATTATTTTGCACATTTTGTAAAACCAATTAAATCATTTTTATAAGGCAATTAACCTTGGTCTTGAGAGATGAGATGGATTGTTGAATCTCCCTCTCCTCCATTCCCTCCTACTCTCTTCATACTCAATCTGTCTAAAGTCAGTATACAGTGATTAGAGTCTCTAACGCTTGATGGTTGTGTGGCAACTACAGTCAGATCAGTGCTTCCATGTGGAAAAGGGTACATGGGAAAAAGCCAATGCTTTTGTTGGAGGTGTGAAACTGACCCAACACATAGATGGACTGGAACAGACTCTTCCGAGTCATCATAAAACAGACTGTCAGTCTGTTAGCTTTCATTTAGAAGTACTAGATGCAACAATGAAAAATGTTCTGTGCTTAGAGTCCCTGAATCTACTTACCAATACTGGATGTTTCAGGATTGTAGAAGAAGTCAAAAAATAAAAAATAAAGATGTTCAACATGTCAGGTTTGCAAATGAATGAATAAAAAAACAGTTATTAGGCACTTCGTATGTGCCACGCATTTGTGATAAGTGCTGGACATATAAATACAAATAGAAATTCAGTTCCTGCATTCAATGAGCTTATGTATAAGGGAGTGGTAGCCATGGAGTGTGAGCACCTAGATGATTCAATGGATAAGAGTGCTGAACTTGGAGTCAACAAGACCTGAATTCAAATCCAGCCTTAGACATGAGCTGTGTGACCCTGGGCAAATCACTTAATCTCTGTTTACCTTAATCCACTGGGGACAGAAATGGCAAATATGGAGTCACAAAAGAGTAGGACACAACTGAACAACAAGCCACTGGAGTGGGGTTTTGGATTGGTGATGATAAGGATGGTGAGTGGAGCCACAGGACAACTGATTAACATATACATTCTAGGAATGATAATATTTATATAATTATTCTTACTAAAAGTAGAAGTGGAAGATAGGCAGGGCCAGAAAGGTACACATGCCATGGTATGGCATGAAGATGGCAGAAGAATCAATCTCAACCCAAGAAAGTCTACTGTTGGTATATTAATATGCTTACATTTAACAGCTGTGGTATAGAGGTATCTTTGGTACATTTTAATTCATTAGACAACTGGTTACACTATGTATGATTTCAAGACTCTCTCTTTCGTATCTGCTCCTGCTGCAATATGAGAGTAGGAACCTTAGCCATTTTCAGATAAATCTCACTGAACTTAAGAAATTGGAAGGGCCCTTACAGGTCATCTTAGGAAGCAGTAAATAGAGTGTTGGATGGAGAATCATAGATAGGATGTGAGTTCAAATACCAGTGCTGCCATTGTGTGGCCTTGAACAAGTGACTTCATCTCTTTAGGACTCAATTTCTTCCTCTGCATAATGAGGGGATTGATTTAGGTGACCTCTAAAGTCCCCTTCTGGCTCTAAATCTACGATATCATGATTCCATGACTTATTATGATTCTCTCCCCCCCTCCCCCATTTTGCATCTGAGGAAACTTAGGTCAAGAAAGGATTGACTTAGCCAAGGTCACATAGTTAGTTAGCAGAAATGTGAATAAAACTAGACCATTTCTCTTGCAGTTCAGGGCTCTTTCTGCTATATCACATTGATGATTGACATCAAGATAACAGGATTACAGATCAAGAGTTGGAAGGGACCCCAGGGACCAACCCCCTCATTTTAGGAAATAGAGGTCCATAGAGGAAAGTGACTTGCTCAAAGTCACTCACCTAAGTGGCAAAGCCAAGATGTGAATCCAGGTTCTCTACCTTCAAAGCTAGCATTCTATAGCCTTCAAAGCTAGCATTCTATAGCATACACTATAACAGTATTTCAAGCAACTTGAATGAATGTAATTAGGTTTAGTTCATTTTATCCTACAGCACTCTCAAGGCCAATACCCAAGCTATCTCTCAACTTCATATGTGGATTTCATTGACAGTACAGCACATCCACTCTCTGGTTTCCCAGGACAGAGCTAAAAAGTCTTTTATTAGATGCGCAGCGCACAGGCCAAACATAAACACTGGGCAAAGGCAGTTGTTACTTTTAGAAGGAAAATATTTCTTACTTGATCTTAGGAGGCCAGTGTTAGAGGATATACAAATGAGGATATTAAATAAGTTCATTACTGAATATTTGCTATTCCTTTAAAAAAAAAGAGAGAATGAAAAACTCTGAGGGCAATTATCTGGTGAAAAGTTCAAGATTCAAGTAATGGTGACTTTAGGGACTTCCCTTTTCTTCCTGAACTTTAACTATTAAATTTTATAAGACAACCAATTACCAGGCAAAGCACCAATCTATGTGGTGGATTTTCCTGATTTCAGGAACTTTTTAAGTAAGGCAGTGTTTCATGCTTTTCAGAGAGGTTGGTTCCAAGTGTTTTGAATTATATTGTTGTTGATAAAATGCTATAATAAATTTAATAGACCACATTTTGCCTTCAAGGTTATCACCCCCTCACTACTTTACAAATACTAAGCTATGACAAAAATGATGTTATTTTAGAGAACAACAGAGCCATAATTGAAAGGAGGAAAATGCCTAGGGTTTAATGAAAATATAGGAAAACCCAATACAATATTCCATCTAATGGTGAATTCTTCTGCATATCCCTAGAACCCTCCAACTCCCTACCCCTTCACCAAGCATTCTATAATTTAATGTAGTTGATAGACATTATGTTTTAAGTAAGACCTTGTTTTAAATTCACTAGAGCAAGATCAAAAGAACTCTTGGTATTTAGTAGTGTGTACATTCATGTGAATTTTACCAAAAATGTTTCAAATTATGAGGATCAAATGCAGGAAAATAGGACATATGAATTGGGCTTTCAAAGGCATTTTCTTGGGTTGTATTTGTTTGTTTGGTGGAAATAGGTTTGGATCACAACACTGCTAAAATGGTTATAGTTTAGAAAAGTATTTGAGCCTGGAAGCTGTAGGATACTGAGGCGGTCTTAACTTGGGAGATTTCAGTATTTCTCTTCTCCTTACCTTCAATGAAGACTTCAGCAGATGTTGTGTCTGAACCACTAGGATTCGTAGCCAGGCAAGAGTAACGTCCCGTATCGTCCTCGAAAGCCTCTGTGATGACTAGAGTATGGAGACCTCTGTTCTCACACTGGATCTGGATGTCTGGGGAGTTCTGAAGCTCTTTTCCTTCACAGAACCATCTGTAGGTCATATGGAATATGAGGGACAGAGCAGAAAGTAACACATATGTTTAAAATAAAGTAGAAGTGAAAGTCCAGATGCCATGTGATGAGATACTGGTTTGATATAAAACTACAGATATGACCAATGCGAATATCTATTCTGGACTGAACTCTTGTGTAATTGGGTCTTTTCTGGGGAAAATGTGTGTAGTCTTTTCCCAGAAAACACCTTTTCTTGTAGACTTTACTTGTCAATCAATATCAATTTAAAAATAAGGGATGGCAAACTCCCAAAACAACTCAGTCTTACAGTATATGAACAAAAATTTAAAATGCTTTACAAAAAAAAAGAATTGTCTTCTTATCATTAGAAAAAGAGAAACTAGAAAAAAAGAAACTAAAACAAATATCTCCTAACCTAATTACAATTTAATCAATTAAGTAAATGAAAATAATTAGGGGGAACTAGTGATAACCTTAGCATTTCTTTCAAAATTCAGTCATTTTCAACATTTTCTACCAACCCTTGGCTACACAATCAGCTTAGAAATACCAGATGTAATTCCTTCCACATTTCTGTTACTTTAAAAAGTCTCTAGTAGGCGAAATGGCCTTGGAGACTTTATATAGGCACAGAAGCTGAGTTGTAATTCACTCTTACTGCTCAGCTCTTTTCCTTTCCCAAATAACCAGGGGGCTGGTGGGGCTGCCTCTCAAGGGCCTCAGGTTGTTGTTGTTCTTTTTTTTTTTTAATATGGTTTTGTGCTCTCTCTCTCTCTCTTTCTTTCTCTTTCTCTCCTCTCCTCTATCCCTCCACAATTTCCAACTCTCTTCTCTTTTTCCTTCATTTTGTAAAATGGAAAATAGAGTTGTAACCCTAAAAACATGCCAAGTCTAATTTATTTTAAAAGAAATATGTAGGAATTTGCCACTTGACACAAACAGAAGAGCTAAAGTCCCCTTTGACAACATTGTCCATTTAGCTCCTAATCACTGCTTAGAGATTTACCCTGAGTAATCTTCTAAGACTGAATTTTTTGGTCTTGGAATCCTTTCCTGGAAATTCAGCACTTAGGACTGAATCTGTAGCCTTCCCTACATTCAGAGAAGTATAATACAAACATACTGTCTGCGTTACAGTAATAATAGAGTATTCTTAATGATAACAATGGTAATAATGCAAAGGACTTGTTAATATGGTACTTCTACTTGGCAGAAACTTTACAGAGATATTCCAAGTGTGTATGTGTGTGTGTATGTGTATTTAATTTTTGTGAGGCAATTGGGGTTAAGTGACTTGCCCAGAGTCACACAGCTACTAAGTGTTATGTGTCTGAGGTTGGATTTGAACTCAGGTCCCCCCGACTCCAGGGTCAGTGCTCTATACACTGCGCCACCTAGCTGCTCCTAGACACATTCTTAAAGATGAATATTTGCCTCTTATAGAAGAGCAGGATGAAATATGGAAACTAAGGAGCAGAGCACAGCCAATTATCCTTTTAATAACTCGAAGATTTGATATATACTAGTTGCACATATTATGAAACTTACATTTTGGTGTCAACTTAGAAGACTGTACTTCCAGATTTTCACATCTAATTCAAGTTGTCTTTCTTCCAATCCTATATTATTTTCTCTGCCCTTTTCTTTCCATTCCCCCTGCTACCATCTCAATCCAGCATTCATTACCTCATGCTTGCACTATTATAACAGCCTAACTGACCCCTCTGCTTTCCGTCTTGCCCAATCCATCCTACACACCAAATGTCAGATCAATTTGGGTAAAATATGCTCTCACACATATCATTCCCCTGCTGAAAAGCTTCCACTGGCTCCCCATTGGCTATAGAATAAATCCTAACTCTTTAGTTTGGCCTTCAAAGACCTCCAAAGTCTGGCCCCAACCTAACTTCTCTCCCTCACAGGTATGTTCTGCTCTGATCTACTCATTGTCTTTTAAATATTCTAAGTGATTGCACACATCCCTTGAATACTATTCCTTTCCTCTCCACTTATCTAAATCCTACCAATCTTTCAAGGTACAGGACAAAGTCCATCTCAGCCAGTGAATTTTCCATTTTCCTCAACCAGGTCAGAGTTCTGCATCTTTTCTCTGAAGTCTTAAAGCAGGTATAGTTTTGTTATTAAAACATTTGTTCGGTAATTAGCATAACTTTATATATTTATGTATATGTACTGTTTCTGACAACAGATTGTAAACTTCTAGGTGGAGACAGGAATAATATTTTATACTTCTTTGTATCACCAATAACTAGCTCATAGTAGGTCTGTTAATTTTTGTTCTTGTTGATGATGACAATCTCATCTCAGAACTTATAATACTCAGTTTCTATTGCTTTTTGGGCAATGATTTCTGACATTTACCTTCATACAAGATAACACAAGAGATGGTCTGTGATTTAATCCTTGCATTGTTATATAACATTTCAAGGACTTAGGGAAGGTGTTCCTAACTATACTATACATTTCCTGAAGTTATTAACCTTTGATAAGGAAATTATTAAACTTCTTTGAACCTCCCCTTATAGAATATAACCTCTTTGACTGCAGGAATTTTTGTATCTGTTTTTGTCTTCATATTCATAGGGCTTAGTACCTGTCATGGGCCATATCATTTAAGAAAAATCCATTCACTGAATGAATGAACTGAAGGCAAATACTGTCTTACACTTCTTTGTTTCCCCCACAGTCCCTAGCATGGTGGCATGCATAAGACTCATACTTAATTAATACTCCTTGCGTGCTTGATACTTCTCATCACAAGGAAATCAGCTATCCCAATATTATTTCAAGGTGTTCAACCTTTGTGGTTGAAATGAATTAGGACCATTACCACCTGAGCAATGAAAAAACTTAAGAAAAAAAGAGGGAAAGTATAGGGTAGTGGGTAGCATGTTGGACTGGGAGTTAGGAATAACCTGTTTGAATTCCACCTCCAATATTTACTGGCTATGTCATCCACTCCCTCCCTCCAACAAGTCCCCGAACCTCCATGAATTTCTTCCTCTGTAGAATGGAGATAATGGCACCTATAGCTCTTACTTATCAGGGTTGTTGTGAGACTCAAATCAGGTAAGACAAGTAAAACACCATGCGCAGCTTGAAACACTTTATAAATGTGAGTTATTACTATTAGTCAGTCAGTAAGTATTATTAAGTGCCAGGCACTGTGCTAGGTGCTGGGGCAAAAACACAGTCTCTCCCCTCAAAGAACTCCCAATCTAATGTGGGAGAAAACCTGCAAATAAGTATGTGCAAACAAGCTACATAGAGGATAAATTAGAGATAATCTCAGAGGAGAGGCATTAGTATTAAAGGGAATCAAGAAAGGCTTCTTATAGAAGGTGGGGTTTTAAAAAATTATTTTTCATTTCCTTTTTTTTAGAAGGTGGGGTTTTAATTGGGACTTGAAGGAAGCCAGGGAAGCCATAAAGAGGAGATCAGGAGGGAGAGCATTTCAGGTAAAGGAGACAGACAGTGAAAATGCCTTAAAGATGGAGCAGTAAGGAGGTCACTGTCCCTGGATCATAGAGGTGTGTGTACATGCATGGGTGTGTATAGGGATTGTAGGGAAAGGGGAATGTAAAGGGTAAGTAGATTGGAAAGGTATGAAGAGGTCAGGTTATGAAGGGCTTTAAGAGCCAAAGGATTTTATATTTGATTTGATATTACCAGTGTAACATGTTTACTTGGTGTCATACTTGTGTAATAGTCGTATTAAAACCTATTATGTACAGAACACAATGCTAGGTCCTATGTAGCAAAATAGGCATTCTTATTTCTGTCCTATGGGGACTGACATAGCATAGGCAGGAGAGGCAGTGTGGCTCACAGAATCACAGAGCATAGCTGGCAAGGATCTTAGAAGGCCATTGAGTCCAACCCCTCCATTTACAGATGAGGAAACAGACTCAGGGAAGTGACTTACTCAAAGTCATACAGGCAATAAGGGGTAGAGCTAGAATTATTACCCAAAGGCCTCTAACTCCACAGCAAGCACTCTGTCCACTGTACCTCATCTGGGCTACCATCTAGGCTGTTACTAGTTATGTGACCATGGGCAAGTCATTTTACTTCTCTTAAGCCCCCAGTTTCCTCACCTATGAAATGGGGATGAGAGGTGGCAGAGCAGAGTGGCTAAAAAGCCAGCATTGGAATTAGGAAGACTTGGGTTCATGTCCTACCTCTGACGTATGCCTGTTGTAAGACCATGGCCAAGTCACAATCTCCCAATACCCTGGGCAACTTGGGAAGGTTGTAAATTAAAGGCCAGTGACTCGGGGCAGCTAGGTGCACAGTGGATAGAGCACCAGCCCTGGAGTCAGGTGGACCTGAGTTCAAATGCGGCCTCAGACACATAATACTTCCTAGCTGTGTGACTCGGGGCAAGTCGCTTAACCCCAATTGCCTCACAAAATAAATAAATAAATTAATTAATTAATTAATTATAGGCCAGTGGCTGATCTGCATCAGCGAAGGCTGTTTCCAAATTGAGAATTCAGACTTACAGATGAAACAACAAGTTCATATCCCACACACAACAACAAGGAATACTGTTATAGTGCTAACTACCTCACAGGACTGTTTTGAGAGGAAGCCCTAAATAAACCGTGAAGTATCAACATAAATATAAATTCTTGTTACTCTCCCTATGCCTTCTCAACAAAGCCAGAAGAGGTAAATATTTCTGTATATCCATGTACCTCATAACATCCCTGTGGGACAGGTACTAAAGGTATTATTATCCTCCTTTATTAGATGGAGAAACTGAGGTTCAAGGGGGTTAACTGAATTGCTGAGGGTCATTTATCTAGTAAATATCAGCAGGATTTGAACCTGGTTCTTCTTCATTCCCAGTCTGGTGCCTCAAATAAGCAAAAAGTCATATACCAAGGCAGACAAAAAATAAAATAAAATAATATACACAAGACATTTATGTTCATTGCAAATTGTAAAACTGAAGGATGACTTTTATTAGAAAGGCAGATTGTAATAGG